ATCTCTCTGTCTCTGTCTCTCTGTCTCTGTCTCTCTGTCTCTCTCTCTCTCTGTCTCTGTATCTCTCTGTCTCTCTCTCTGTCTCTGTCTCTCTGTCTCTCTCTGTGTCTCTCTGTCTCTGTCTCTCTCTCTCTGTCTCTCTCTCTGTCTCTGTATCTCTCTGTCTCTGTCTCTGTCTCTCTCTGTCTCTGTCTCTCTCTCTCCCTCTCTCCCCCCCAGCCCAGGCGGGGCTCCAGAATGAGACCGACCCCCACAGTTCCATCCCACTAGACCAGGCGTCTTCAAACTACGGCCGAGGGCCACCTGTGCGTGTTTTCGCCCCTTTGTTTTTTTACTTCAAAATAAGATATATGCAGTGTGCGTAGGAATTTGTTCATAGTTTTTCTTTTTTAATTTTTAATTTTAAAAACTTTTTTTATTCTTTGTTTTTATCTTTTTAAAAAAAAATATGGAACGCTTCGCGAATTTGCGTGTCATCCTTGTGCAGGGGCCGTGCTAATCTTCTCTGTATCGTTCCAATTTTAGTATATGTGCTACCGAAGCGAGCACTGTCTTTTGTTTTTTATGTTAATTCAGAGTAAGTGCTTGGAAACATAGTTTTGTTTTAAACTACAGTCTAGGCAGGGCGCAGAGGCTCACGCCTGTCATCCTGGCACTCTGGGAGGCCGAGGCGGCCGGATTGCTCGAGGTCAGGAGTTCAAAACCAGCAAGAGCGAGACCCCCGTCTCTACTAAAAATAGAAATGAATTGCCCAACTAATATATATAATAGAAAAAATGAGCCGGGCGTGGTGGCGCATGCCTGTAGTCCCAGCTACTCAGGAGGCTGAGGCAGGAGGATCGCTTGAGCCCAGGAGATTGAGGTTGCTGTGAGCGAGGCTGACCCCACGGCACTCGCTCTAGCCTGGGCAGCAAAGTGAGACTCTGTCTCAAAAAATAAAAAAAATACTCCTAGGTGATTTGACAATCCACTTTGCTGTTCCAAGCCTCGGTGTCAACTCCTGCAAAATGGGTCAATGCCGCCTGCTCTCAGACTTGCCTGGGTGCTGGTTGTCAACTGACATTACCCCTGCGTGTGTTTCACACTAAGGTCACTCAGCGCTATTCGTGGGGACTGCCCTGTGCGTTGTAGGGCGTTTAGCAGGATCTATGGCCTCTACCCACTAGATGCCAGTATAGAGTAGCGGGATTGGGTGACTACGGCCATACTACACCCGGTTAGATTTGAATTTCAGATAAACACATAATAATTTTTCTGCCTAAGTGTGCCCCAAATTTCCCATGGCACACACTTACCTAAAAGAGGCGTTTGACAGCTGGGCGCGGTGGCTCCCGCCTGTCATCCCAGTGCTAGGGAAGATCCCTCAAGTCAGGAGTTCAAGACCAGCCTGAGCAAGAGTGAGACCCCCGTCTCTATTACAAATAGAAAGAAATTAATTGGCCAACAAAAAAATATATAAAAAAATTACCTGGGCATGGGGGCGCATGCCTGTAGTCCCAGCTACTCGGGAGGCTGAGGCAGGAGGATCGCTTGAGCCCAGGAGTCGGAGGTTGCTGTGAGCGAGGCTGACGCCACGGCACTCACTCTAGCCCGTGCAACAGAGTGAGACTCTGTCTCAAAACAACAACAAAATATGAAAAACGTGACCGGGCTAAGGGATGCCCAGATGGCTGGCTAAACATTATTTCGGGGTGCGTCTGTGAGGGTGCTTCTGGAAGAGATTAGCATTTGCAAGGGGACTGAGCAATGCTGACAGCCCCCTCCAATGTGAGTGGGCACCACCCAATTCCTTGGGGGCGAGATGACACAGAACAGTCCCAGAAAGTTGGATGTGCTCTCTCTCTCTCTGCCTAACCGCCTGATCCGGGACTTCAGTCTTCCCCTGCCATCGTTGTCCCCGGTTTTGAGGCCCAGCACCAGGTCTCTGTCTCTCAGACCGACCAACTGTACCACTGACCTTCCCGTGTTGGTGGCTTGCAGACAGCAGATTGCGGGACATCTCAGTCTCTACAACCGCACATCGGGAATTCTTGTCATTCCGCATAAGAAATCTGTTTCTAGATCTGTACATACAGCCTGTTGTTTCTTTCTTTTCTTTTCTTTCTTTTTTTTCTTTTTTTGAGACAGAGTCTCACTTTGTTGTTGCCCAGGCTAGAGTGAGTGCCGTGGGGTCAGCCTCGCTCACGGCAACCTCAGACTCCTGGGCTTGAGCGATCCTCCTGCCTCAGCCTCCTGAGTAGCTGGGACTACAGGCACGCGCCACCATGCCTGGCCAATTTTTTTCTATATATATTAGTTGGCCAATTAATTTCTATTTTTAGTAGAGACGGGGTCTCACTCTTGTTGAGGCTGGTTTTGAACTCCTGACCTTGAGCGATCCACCTGCCTCGGCCTCCCAGAGTGCTGGGATGACAGGTGGGAGCCTATTGTTTCTGTTTCTCTGAAAAACCCTAAGGCAGTCTCCACTTGCTCAAAGAGTAGGAAGGTGACAAAGGATCTTGCATTTGCAGAATAGCTGGGGCAAGGTGGCTCTCGCCTGTGGTCTCAGCTACTTTAGAGGCCAAGGCAGGAGGATCCTGAGCCCAAAAGTTGAAGGCCAGCCTGGGCCGCACAATGAGACCCTTGTCTCCAAGAAAGAAAGGGTTTCTTTTCTTTTTTTATTTTTTTTTTGAGACAGAGTCTCACTCTGTCGCCTGGGCTAGAGTTAGTGCCGTGGCGTCAGCCTAGCTCACGGCAACCTCCAACTCCTGGGCTCAAGGGATCCTCCTGACTCAGCCTCCCCAGTAGCTGGGACTACGGCCCATGCCACCGTGCCCAGCTGATTTTTCTAGTTTTTAGTAGAGACAGGGTGTCACTATTGCTCAGGCTGGTCTCGAACGCCTGAACTGAAGTGATCCTCCCACCTTGGCCTCCCAAAGTGCCAGGATTACAGGTGTGAGCCACTGTGCCTGGCCCCTATTTGTGTTTTTGAAGCTAATGTAAATCTCTTTTAGAGAGTATATACTTGGACTATTACTTTTTTAATTCTTTCGGACTTCTTCCTTTTAAGTGGAGAGCGTATCTTTTTATATTTAATGTAATTTCTGATGTTGTTTGTCCAGTTCCTCCATTACTGACTTTTTTTGAGTTATGTTGGTATGTTCTAGTGTACTACCCACAATGTAATTTTGCAAATGTGGGTGTATATAGGAAGCCAGAGGAGATTCTTAGAGGTGCAGTTGCTGCATCGAAGTGGAGGAGGAGGTGTGCAGTTAAAACTCTAATAGGTGTTACCACATTTATCTGTCATTCTTCTACAAATTCAACTGGACATTTCCTAAAGAGAGCATTGCACTTTATTGAAAATTATCTGTTGCCTTGTCAGGATTTCCCCTTAGACTGTGTCTTCCAGGAGAGGGGGGACCTCATTTTATTCATTTTCTACATTCTCAGTTTAGTGCACGGGAGCCCCCCTCCCCCAATTGTGAAGAAAACGAAACCTCTTTCCCTGTCATGATAAATAGGAAAATTGGAAAATGAGGAACCATGGCAAGGTTGGGAAGTTCTAGCTCAGCTGTGCAAGCCAGGAGCCCTTCCAGGTGACTTCGGAAGTATTTGGAGAGCCCCAGAATCTTGGGATGGAAGGAGAAGTGGGGGGGTGGGGAGGAAGTTTTCCAAGGTACTTTACAAAAGAGAAAGGTGGAGGCCTGGGGTTAGGAGATTAAGGCTCATGAACCAACAGCCGAGCTTGGAGTTAAAGTGTCTGAAAACTTTTTAGTGAGCACCTGCTGTATGCAGCATTATTCTCCCCATGGGTAAGATCATGTGGAATTTTCCTTTATAAAGAATAACAGGCTGCTGGGAGGCCGAGGCGGGCGGATTGCTCAAGGTCAGGAGTTCAAAACCAGCCTGAGCAAGAGCGAGACCCCGTCTCTACTAAAAATAGAAAGAAATTAATTGGCCAACTGATATATAGAGAAAAAATTAGCCGGGCATGCCACGGCACTCTAGCCTGGGCATCAGAGTGAAACTCTGTCTCAAAAAAAAAAGAAAAAAAAAGGCCGGGCGCGGTGACTCACGCCTGTAATCCCAGCTCTCTGGGAGGCCGAGGCGGGTGGATTGCTCCAGGTCAGGAGTTCGAAACCAGCCTGAGCAAGAGCGAGACCCCGTCTCTACTATAAATAGAAAGAAATTAATTGGCCAACTGATATATAGATATATATATATATATATAAAATTAGCCGGGCATGGTGGCGCATGCCTGTAGTCCCAGCTACTCGGGAGGCTGAGGCAGGAGGATCGCCTGAGCCCAGGAGTTTGAGGTTGCTGTGAGCGAGGCTGACGCCACGGCACTCACTCTAGCCTGGGCGACAGAGTGAGACTGTCTCAAAAACACAAAAAAAGGAAAAGAAAAAAAAGAAAAGACTTAGTAACTACTGAGGCAGTGAGCAGCGGCTCCTTTATTCCCTGGCCCGTCTTAGTGGCAGAGGAAACCCTTGGCTCAGAGAGGTGCAGTCACTTGCACAGAGTCACACAGCCAGCAGGTGGCCAGGCCTGGATGTCACCGCAGAGCGCCACCCCCCGCTTCACAAACGGGGAAACTGAGGCCGGAGGCGCTCGCCGCAGGGGCGGGAACGGACCCCCCCCTCCCCCGCCCCGTGCAGGCCTCCCGCGCGCGGCCGGGAGCTCCGAAGCCCCGCGTCCCCGGAAGCGCCGCCACGGGCCCCGTGCGCGGCCGCGGGCGTCAGGGAGCAGCGGTTGGGGCGGGGCCGAGCGCCGCAGCGGCCGGCGAGGCGGCGGTTGGAAGCCACGCCCCCCCGCGCGTGCGCAGTGCGCGTCCCGCCGGCTCCCCGGGTTCCGGGCGTCCGGGCGCGGTTGGCGCGTCTGCGCGGGGGCGCGCGCGCGCTTGCGCCGGCGTCGGGCTCGCGCACGCGCACGGCGACGGCGGCGGCGCGCGGCGGCGGTTCCTGCCGGGGGCTGCGAGCGGCGGCGGCTTCTCAGGAGCGGCGGCGGCGGCGGCGGCGGCGGCGGCTCGGCGGCGGAGGGGGCTCGGCGGCGGCTCGGCGCTCGCGGTTCCCGGCCGGTGGCGCCGACGCGGGCGCTTCGGGCCCGCTCCGGCTCGCGGGGGCGGCGGCGGCGGCCCACCCGAGGCCTGCGGCCTAGGCCTCGGCCGAGCGGCGGGCTCGAGTGCGGCGCGGAGCCGGCCTGCGGGCCCTGCGCGGCGGCACCATGAGCGTGGAGGCGTACGGGCCCAGCTCGCAGACGCTCACCTTCCTGGACACGGAGGAGGCCGAGCTGCTCGGCGCCGACACTCAGGGCTCCGAGTTCGAGTTCACCGACTTCACCCTCCCCAGCCAGACGCAGACGCCCCCCGGCTGCCCCGGCGGGCCCGGGGGCGGCGGCGCGGGAGGCCCGGGCGGCGCGGGCGCGGGCGCCGCGACGGGACAGCTCGACGCGCAGGTGAGCGGCACATGGCGGCGCCGGAAGCCCCGGCCGGGCCCGGGCGCCCCCGACCTGCCCCGGGCGCCCTCCGGCCGGGCCTGGGCCGACCTGCGCCGGGCCCCGCACCCGGCCTGCGTCTGGGCGGACTCGAACCCCCGGCTTCCTGACTCCGCCTGGGTTGGCCCCGCTCACTGGGCCGGGGCTGGCCTGCTTCGTGTCCCCCAACCGGCCCGGCCCGGCCCGGCCCGGCCTGGCCTGGCCTGGCCTGGAGAAACCTGCCTCGGTTTCCCCGGTCCTGCGGGGTCCCCGGCTGACCTGCCTTGGTTTCCCCACTCCAGCCGGGATCGCGCTGACCTGCCCCTGGCCCCTCTGTCGCCGGCTCCAGGGACCTGACCCGAGTCTCCCTACGGCTCAGGCTGGATCTTACACGACCTGCCCTCAGTCGCCTTCCGGGCGTGTCCTGGGTGACCTGCCCTCCGTCTGTGTCTGGCCCCATCCGGGGTGACCTGCCCGGTCTCCCCTCTGGCTGGTCCGGCCGCCCTGTCCCACCCGCTGGGGTCGCAGCCATCTGGGCACCCCCCCCCACCCCCTTCCCCCTCCTTCACACCCACCGAGCTGCGGGTTCAAATTTCCCCCTCGCCCCAGGCCCTGGCTCTGGCAAGCCGAGGGTTGAGGCTCCCAGAGCGGGAGGCGAATTTTTGCCTCCCCCGGTGGAGCACCGCGCACTGGCTGGCTATTAGGATTATTCACGGAGAAGCAGGTTGCGTTTTGTTTTTCCTTCTTGCATCGCCTGTTGCTGAAACCGAGCTGTTACATAACTCCACAGCCCTGCCTTGGAAAAGTTGGGTTTGAGTTTTGTTCTTCCAGTGGAGCCGTGATAGCGGGGGGTTTTTTCGTAAATGGGTCTGCCACGTCGGTGGAAACTTCTGCTTTTATTGATGTGGACGTCTAGTGAAGGCTGCTTAGGTATTTTAAATCGGGGTTTTGGGTTGTGAGAAGGACTGGGCCTGCGCTTCCTGCACCTGGGTTCCTGCCTCGGGCGGGAGAGGGGGCAGGCCGGTCCGGGGAGTGTTGTGTTGCCGCTGTCTTCTGGATCTGATTGCTTCTGCCGGAGGCCTGCTTGGTGCTTGGCCCCTCCCTCAGGTTTCTTTTCCTGAATGCCCCGCCAGGGAGGAGTTTCGAGGCTCACTTTGTCACAGGTGTCCCTTGGCACATGCTTGTGTTCTGGAGCCGCAGGAAGCACCTCTTGCTCAGCCGGAGTGAGCGCAGACCCTGCCCCTGGGGGAGGGGGCTAACGTGCTAGTTGGTTGAGTCACTCCCGTGGGTAGACCACCCACTTGGGCTTTCTTTTAGCCCCCAATGGAAGCAAGAAACATTTGACTCATTCTAACCCCAGATTCCTTAAAATAGAAGGCCTCCGTGGTGGGTGGGGCATCTGGAGAACAGGTATGCAAGTAAGGGTGGTTTTTTTTCAGTTTTGTTTACAGTTGGTGAAGGGAGGTGGAGAGAGGGGACTTTGCCTGGAGAATGAACCGGAGCTGCTGAGGCCCCGCCTTCCTGTAGTTTCCCAGCCTCGGTGCACCTCTCTGCTTTGGCAGCTGTAAAATGGGGGTGGCACTCATGTTTTCCTTAACTTTTAAAGATAAGAGAAATCTGGGCTTATGTGTAAAACTAGTAGATCTTGTCTGTCTGTACCTTGTGTCCAGCCTGTGGGGAAGGCTGAGGCTGAGGATCTGTGGCTTCCTGGGGGCCGGTGGGGTGTGGCGAAAGGTTAATTGCTTTTCTTGTGAGTCCTTTTAACAGCAGAACAGCAAACCTGGGGCAGCTTTGAGTTCTGCTTTTGTTCCTCCTGTTTGTGATTAATTGTGGGGTGCGTCCTTCTCTTTTAGTTAAAACAATCAATTTTCTTGCCTCTGAACACTGGATCGTACAAGATGAAAGTATTAAAATGCTTCCCTGCAGGTAGACACTGCCATTGAGCTCACTTGAGTGTGACGTCAGAGGCTTGTCCTCAGTTGCTTTTAATTGACTTCGAAGACCCACCCACCTGCAGCCTGTGTGTGGACTTGTGTTTGGGGACGGGGGTGAATCCATTTGTGTCACAAGAGGAAGGCCTGAATCTGGGGCAGGAAAGTCTGAATATAATTGGAAAATGGAAAAAAAGTTATCTCCTGTGCCAGTTGGTGGCATTGACTGCCTGAGACACGTGGGAATATTTCCCACACTCGTCCTCAGGAGTTGGCTGTGTAACCGCCCAGAAGGTGGGGGCTTCCAGAAAGATTTAGAATCTCATTTTGCCTTTTCATTTCATCTTACTGGACGAGTGGCTGTCAGTTTTTAAGTGCTTTGCAGCCACTTCGTCTAACAGCGTTGTCAGAGTGGAGGTCACATACTGAGCCATACGGCTCGCCCGTGTAAGGTGTACAGTTCGGTGGCTTTTAACACCTTCAGTGTTGTGCGGCTGTCACCACAGCCAACTGTAGGACGTTTTTGTCACCCAGAAAGAAACCCTGCACCCCTTCTCCCCTCAGTCTTACCTTCCCCCGCCCCTGGCAGCCACTGGTCTGCTTTCTGTCTGAGAGTTGCCTGTTCTGGAGGTCTTGCGTGAATGAATCGCGGGGTGCGTGGTGTTTTGCGTCTAGCTTCTTTCACTCAGCAGCGTGTGTGCAAGGTCTGTGCACGTCATAACCGGCTCCTCGGAGTTTGCTTTTCAAAAGCCGAGTAATAGTCCGACGTGTGGAGGGACCACGTTTTTGTTTATCTCCTCATCTGTCCACGAACGTTTGGGTTCTTTCTACCTCTCGGCTGTTGCGAGTCGAGCTGCTCTGGACGTCTGTGTGCACATTTCTGTGTGGATGTAGTTGATGGCGAAATTGCTGGGTCGTGTCGTCACTGAGGAACTGCAAGTGTGCGGCCACTTCTCCCCCCCCCCCTTTTCGCAACAACCCATTCCAAATGGAGTGCGGGCACTTTTGATGCCAGCCCCACCTGTATCGGCTTCGCACGGTCGATGTCCCCTTGAAGTCTGCTTACAGTGGCGGCTGTGTCCCAGCCGAGGCGGGAGGGAGAACGGCAGCAGGGGCGACTCCAGAGCTGGTTCGAATATCGTTCCTCTTCTTCTTCGTGAAATGGAACTGACGTCTGTCAGAGCCCTTGAGATCCTGGGATGACAAGCGCTGACACAGTTCTGCCAAGTGTCCCTAAAATAAGGAGTCGCTTTTCTCTCTGAGGATCTGACCCTGTCCTGGGCTCCCCGCACCCCCGCAGGATGGTGGAAGGTAATGTCAGATGTCCTTTGCACAGTAGCGGGATTGCAAGCCTTTGGATCCGCCTGGCTGGAATATTTCCTCTCGGCCGGCGCTGCGCCGCTGTTGCTGTCCAGCTCCTCCCAACAGTGCGAGCGGGGCGAGACCTATGAGTTGGAAATGCCACTCAGTGATAAAGGGGAACGAACTCCCGACACGTGCAACAACCGGCTGCATCTTGGAGTAATTACTCTGAGTAAAAGAAGCACTCGGACAAAAAAGAGCGTATGCCCTGTGATTTCATTCATGCAAAATTCTAGAAAGGGCTAGCTAGCCTGCAGTCGTAGAAAGCAGCCGGGTGGTGGGCACAGAAAGGTGGGCCGGGCGGGAGAGGAGGGAGGGAGCGACAGGGCACCAGGAGACTTGGGGTGACGGATGTGCTTGTTCTCGTGATTGTGGTGACGGTTTTATGGGGGGTTTGCATACGCTGACTTGTCAATTTCTAAAAAATGACATACTTTATACACCGTTTGTGGCCTGTCAGTGATATGTTAACCTGTTAGAAGTAAAACCACGCGGAGATGCTGCTACCCACTCATTTCAGTGGCTCAGTCTCTTTTTTTTAAGAAGGCCGAAAGTGCTGCTGGAACTCTCATGCCCCGCTGGTGGGGCGGGTGCCCACACACCTGCCCGCCACCCCGAAGAGAAATGAAGGTGTCTGTCCGTGTAGGGCTGCGCTGAATGTTGGCAGCAATCCCAGTGGACGGACGAAAAGTAGTATGGGTGCCCAGTTGGAAAAACTTGTGCCTGTTGGTTCGATTTGCTTTTCTTAGCTCACTTGGAAACGTTGAGATTTGCAGATAGGTACGGTCCTTTTAGGCAGGAATGTCAGTGTTTTTGTGCAGGTGTTCCAGCTGACTTTTTGGATGCTGCTTGCAGTCCGAGGGGTCCTGGCCTCACTCTGTCCCGTCGCCCTCAGGTCAGGCCTGCGCTGCGTGCCCCTCCGCTCCGCCTGGCCAGTGAGCAGCACCGCTGGGCTGTTGTCCATGCTTGGATTTTACTTTAAGTGCAAGAGTCACTTCCTTAGGAAAAAGTGCCGTCTTTCTTGATCCCAAGGAACAAAATCTTGGGAAAGCTGCTTGCAGACCTGTTGTCCCAGCCTTACCTGTCCTCCCACCTGCCAGGCTCTTACGTGTTTCCTCTCTGGTTCTGGTCTTGAGTATGCAAACTTGGGCCTGCTTTTCCTTTTCAAGTGGTAAAATACTTAGGATAAAAAGTTGCCACCTCATGTTTAAAGCCATGGTCCTGCCTGCCTCTGCCTTCAGAGTTCACAGGTGGCTGTTCGGGCCTGTCCTTGGCTATCCAGGTGGACAGACCATCTTCCCCTGCCTGCTGAGCCCTGAGCTTGTCAGTCATACGTAAGACCGGGAGGGGGGAGCTCTGTACAGCCCTGGGTTCCTAAAAATGGTGGGTTTAAAACTTGCTCCGTGACTTTGTCCATTTTGGTTATGCAAATACTTGGGTAGTCCAGCTGTGACCTCCTCGTGCCGAGGGAACATGGGAGATAAGAGGCTGCTAACCAGAGCCGTGCTGGCTCCAGGTGTCGTGGGACATCCCGGGGTTGTTTCCAGATTGTGAGGACTCTCCCCGCGATTATGCAAAGTAGCTGAGGCTTCACAGTTGGCGGCAGATACTCAGGACGACTTGTGACGGTTTTGTCTCAGTTTCTTTACCCAGATTTAGCAGGATTGGGGAGTTAACTCTAATACTACA